GTGGTATGGGAACCACGATAAGGCCCGCGGCTCCCGCTGACTTGTCCTTTGGCGGTAGAGCTAGCGCTGCCCCCGCCGTCTCCGCTCTGGCGTGTCGAGGCTCAGAGGAGCCCAGCGTGGTCTCTGCCTGTTAGGCAGATGCTCCTCAGCCAGCTGGTGTCTCCCTGAAGGGGGCAGCGGGGAGAAGTGACCCGTGCTGTTCCCCCTCGGGCGAGGGCTCAGACGCCTCGGAGGCCCCGGGCCTGTTTCTCAGTAGATGAACAGGCCTGTGTCCCGGCCCAGCTCGCTCCCCGTGGTGAGCGTGCGGTGGGCACCCCCAGCCAGCTGAGAGCCAGGCTCAGGTGTGTTTGTGCCTCCAGCCACGGCCCCTGCTGGCCCGGACAGGTGCATGTCCTGCAGTGGCCATCCCCCACAGGCTGATGCTGGGAGGCGCAGGCAGGTCCGGGGCGGTCACAGGTGGAGGTGGGCTGTGCGAGTGTCTTGCCGATGTGGGCGTGTTCCTCCTGCAGATACCCGCACGGACGGGTCCAGCCTACACAACGACACCTGCCCCTCCTGCCCGCTGCGCGCCCCCACCATAAGCGACCTGCTCAACGACCAGGACTTGCTGGACGCCATCCGGATCAAGCTGGACCCGTGCCACCCGACGGTGAAGAACTGGCGGAACTTCGCGAGCAGGTGGGGCATGCCCTATGACGAGCTGTGCTTCCTGGAGCAGCGGCCGCAGAGCCCCACCCTGGAGCTCCTTCTGCGCAACAGCCAGCGGCCGGTGGGCCAGCTGCTCGACCTGTGCCGGCTCTACCGCAGGGCCGACGTGGAGAGGTTGCTGCGCCGTTGGCTGACGGAGGAGTGGCCCAGGAGGGGCCTCGCGGGCGGCACCCCGCCCTTCTAGAGCCGTCAGCTGGCCCGGCCTTGCAGGCCCCGCCTGGGAGGCGCGTGGACGTTCAGGACGCGGGCGTTGTTGGCGGGCCGTGGCTTCCCCCACACTGGGGGCTTTGAGGAGGCAGGTTTGGTCTCGGTGGTGGATACACGTTTACTTCTGCACATCTGTTTAATATTTGAAGCTGGGACTGGGAAAATGTATTTCGTAGGCACATACAGGGACCAAAGCCTACAGTCAGAATGGATCCCCGCCATGCAGAGAACAGAAGGAACCTCCCCTTGGTCCCTGGGGGGTTCCTGTGGGACCTAAGGCTGTTCCGGCCCAAACACGGAGCTCATCACCCCTGAGTCCTCCTGGCTTAGAAGGAAACGGCGAGATGTTGCCGTGGTGGTGGCTTGTTACACTTGTCATCAACTACGTGGGCGAACTCAGGGTGCTGGTGCTATGGGGTGACGTGCCTTCCCATCCACTCACTTTACCATGGCGGGCTGTCAGCAGTGGCACTTGCTCAAGTGTTTTTAAAAGAAATACCAAAATGGATGGTTATTCTGAAGACGGCCGGGGGAAACTGGGGCGGCTGGGCTGTGGGTGGGACAGAGAGAGGACTGTGAGAGCCCCGTCACCCCTGCCTTCCTGAGAAGCCACGACCACGGCCTTTTCCCAGGCTGGGAGGGCGAGGCGCTCCGTAGAGCGGCCTTGGCCAGGCCGATGGCGCGAGGACAGCAGGTAGGCCGGGCTGGGAGGGCGCAGGCACTCCTCCGGTGGCGGCTGCTGCGCAGTCCCTGGTAAAACAGTGGTACAATGACCGGCACCGGGTAAGCCCCATGGAGGCCTGCGTACCTGCCGAGACCCCCAAGCCATCCCGCAGCCCTGCCCGTGGTGCTCAGGGCTGACTCCGGGAGGCAGCTTCCCGTGAAAGGGCGGCTCTGGACTGATCAGCTCTGCCGAACCGGCTCACGGCCCTGGCTCTGTGTGGACCCCATCTGCCCTCTTGGGATCTCAGATCTGCATCAGACCATGGTTCGAGTCTCAGATCTGGTGGCTTGAAACACGCTGGGCACATATGTGTGTATACACAAGATCTCGAGAGATTGGAGAAGGGATTGTGGTGTGGTCATCCCCCCAGGGGGTACTTCACTTTCTCTCTCTCTCTCTGGTGAGCACACACACCTTGTAGCAAAAATAAAATAAAGTCAGGCAAGAGGTGGTCTCAGGTGATCAGACGTGGTGCCTGGGTGTGTGCTCACCTTTCAACTCGGGGATCTGGGAAAACCAGGTGCCCCCACGTCCCACCCGGTGTCCATCTGCCATGGCTGTCTTCCAGAGCTGAGGACCGGTCCTCCCCGGGGCCTCACCACCTCACCGCCAGCTGCACAAGCTTGCGCTGTCTGTCCAGGGCGTTTCGGCTGAGTTGTACTCCCCATCATGGCACGGGGACGCACCGGGGCCTGTAACTGGGCCGTGGGTGGACGCGTGCTGCCCGAGCCGGGCCGTCTGCACACGTGCACATCCGTGCTGCCTGCTTCCACCTCACGGACGCTTGTAACCTGGGGAGTGGTGTGGGTGGGAGCTTAACCAGGACTTTTAAAATTAAAGTTCACATTCTAGTCCTGGGACGTCTGTCCTTTCCCGTCTCCTCACTTGTGTTTCAAGGCCCTAGAGAGAACTCAGTGAACTCTGGAAGGAAAAAGAGAAAGGAAGAAAAGAAGGGAGGAAGGAGGGCGGGAGGAAATGAAGAGGCCGCCCCACGAAGGACCGGTGAGGGTGGGCGGAGGGTGGTCACAGGGCAGGCAGGAAAGGCATGGGCGGCCGGCAGAGGACACTGAGACAGGCGGGGAGGACGGCGAGCGCAGGTGAGAGATGAGCCCAGGCAGAGGATGGCAAGCCCAGGTGGAGGATGGGGAGCCCAGGCAGGGGACAAGCCCAGGCAGGTAAGACGGTGAGCCCAGGCTGGGGACAGGTAAGACGGCGAGCCCAGGCTGGGGACAGGTAAGACGGCGAGCCCAGGCTGGGGACAGGTAAGACGGCGAGCCCAGGCTGGGGACAGCGCGGCGGGGGACGGGTAAGACGGCGAGCCCAGGCTGGGGACGAGCCAGGCGGGGAGGGCAGTGAGCCCAGGCTGGGGACGAGCTGGGTGGGGGGGAAGGGCAGTGAGCCCAGGTGGGGAACAACAGGGAGCCCAGGCGGGGGACCAGCCCAGGCAGGGAGGATGGTGAGCCTAGGTGGGGGACGAGCCTGGCGGGGAGGGCAGCGAGCCTAGGTGGGGAACTACTGGGAGCCCAGGCGGGGGACGAGCCAGGTGGTAGTGCAGGTGGCGGTCGGTTTGGGAAGGACAGGACAAGCTCGGCCTCTGGCTATGAGAAGAAAGTGGAGGCGGACGTGGAGCCGCTAGCACAGGGTAGGCCGCACTTCTGGCCACAGCCGTGACAGGGCGATCCCTGTCTGCAGAGATGGCTCCAGCGGCATCTTCAGGTGGAAGGGACGCATGGCCTTGACTGGGGTTCTCCCTCCTCTGGGAACAGCTCAGCCAGCACCGACACAGGGCACTGAGCCACAGCCAGCAAGGGACAGCAAGGGACAGCACCGAGCCCCACGCCGCTGGGAAGAGGGGGCCGCCAGGAGCGAGAGGTGCGTGGCGGGGGTCGTTTCTTTCCTGTGGTCCCAAAGGCTGAGAGCTCCTGAACACCTATTCGATTTCATACAGCGGTCCCTTTAAAATATGTACCCACATCACCGATGTTCCTTACACGTCAGTCGAAACATCGGTGTTAAGGAGCCAGCCACACCTCCTCAGCGAGGGTGGAGTGCTTCCACAACCAGACCATCCGATAGCCCACAAAGAGCCTCAGGGCCAGCCAGCAGCCGGTGGTCCCAGGCCGGGTCCCACGTGGCCCACAGTACAGTGCGAGTCCTGGCCTGGGCTTGAGAATGTACTGCTCAGAGGGCGTGTCGCACTCTCCCACTCTGCGTCTCTCTCAAGTACACACACTCTGCCCGATGGTTTTGAAAATTTCCAATAAAACTTGAACAACAATGATAAATTTATTTATGGCGATCGTGTACTGATCACTGTAACAAAAAGACAATAAAAATAACTCAACTGAAAAAATGTTTTTGAAAAAAGTTTTCAGGGACCAGCAGTGTTAGCGTAATGGCTATGTCGCTGGACTCTCATGTAGTCGACCGCGGTTCGTGTCCCGGACCCGGTGGTTTAAACTCACGCCGGGCGCATGTGCGTGCGTGCCCAAGATCCAGAGAGGAGACTGGTGGAGAAGGGATTGCAGCGTGGCCGTCCCCTCTGGGGGGGGGTTTCTCACTTTCTGTCTCTCTGTCTCTGTCTTTCTGGTGAGCACACGCGCCCTATAACAAAAATCTCTCCCAAAGAAAAGCTTTCAAAAAACTTTTTTTACATTTAATTTGTGTAAGTAATTTTGTGGCAGAGATGTGATGCAACATGGCCAACCTCATGGCCGCCTGTGCACGTTAAATTCTGGACCTGGCTGCTGGAAAATCGCGTTGGACGTGTGCATGTGCGCCCAGAATCCCGAAGGAGGGCGAGATGGAAGAGAAGGGCTTGCGTCATGGCCCTCCCGGGGGCACCAGAGGGTACTTTCTCTCATTTTCCTTTCTCACTTCCTCTCCCTCTCTCCCCCGTCTCTGGCAAGAGCATGCACCCTCTAGAAAATCAAAATAAATAAGCAGATCCCGTTCCCCACCAAGTCTCCTCGGGGAGCTCGCTAAGTCCAGGTGTGGTGGGAATGAAAGCAGCAGCTCGAGGCCTCTTGCATCAGAAAGCAGAGAAGCTAAGGAGGCCTGGTTGTAACAGAAGTATTCAGAAGCTAAATCACAGGCCCTCCTGGATAAAGGTGGGTCACTGAAGCTTCCAGAAAAAGTACACACATCAACTGTATTAAAATGAACAATTCATAAAGACATCTAAACACCAACGCATCCCCGCGGAGATGCGGCCTACCTAAGGTCCAAGAACAGGAGTGGCCGGGCCTCGAGCACCGTGGACTTCACACAATGGGGTCACTACCTAGTGGGCGAGGGCAGCATGTGCGCTGGTAGAATAGCTCCTATGAAGAGGAATGATGGACTTGAAATAGCACCATTTTTCAAGGTGTATGTGTGTGTGTGTGTTTTCACGAGAGACAGAGAATGAGGAGAAAGACAAACCCTTTGCAGACCTCTGCCCCAGCCCTCCCAGGCAACTGCGATCAAGGGTACCCACGCCCGGCAGGGCGACCAAGGAACTGAACCCATGACCCTCTGAGTGGACCTGGCTTTGTTTGAATAGTGCGTCACTGCTGCTGGGCCGACCCTCACCCTGTGCCCATTCGTAATGAGATACCGGCTCTAGACTATTGGCCACCAGTAGCTAGGTGCTATAACCATCTGATCAGAGATCAGCAAGGCGGGGGACCAGCAGGTGGTGTGGTGGTTAAGGCGCTGGACACTCCCACATGGCTGACCACAATTTGAGTCCTGGATCTGGCAGCTTGCCTTCTCACTTTCTCTCTCTTTCTCTGTGTGTCTCTCTCTCTGGTCAAATTAAAATAAAATAAATGAATAAATAAAATTTTTTTTAAAAAAATCAGTGAGGCAGGATCAGCAGACGGTGCAATGGCTATGTCACTGGACTCCCATGTGGTCGACCGCAGTTCAAGTCCCGGACCTGGTGGCTTAAACTCACGCTGGGTGCGTGTGCATGCATGCCCAAGATTCCAAGAGGACAATGGAGAAGGGACTGTGGTGTGGCCATTCCCCCCTGGGGGGCGATTTCTCACTTTCTGTCTCTCCGTCTCTCTCTGTCTTTCTGGAGAGCACACGCGCTCTATGGCAAAAATTTCTCCAAATAAAATAAACAATGAGGGGGCCAACAGGTCGTGTGGTAGTTAAATGTGCTGGACTCCTACATGGCCAACCATGGTTCAAGCCTCGGACCTGGTGGCTTCCTTTCTCACTTTCCCTGTCTCTCTTGTCAAACTGGAAAATAATAATAAAAAATAATTCTTTTTAAAAAATGGGAGGGACCAGCAGATAGCATAATGGCTACATCACTGGACTCCCATGTAGTTGACCACGGTTCAAGTCCTGGAACTGGTGGCTTGGACTCACACCAGGCATGTGTGAGCCCAAGATCCCGAGAGGAGGATGGAGTAGAAGGGATTGTGGCATGGCTATCCCCCTGGCGGGTGATTTCTTGCTTTCTGTCTCTCTGTCTCTGTCTGTCTGTCTGGTGAGTGCACATGCCCTGTAGCAAAAGCCTCTCCAAAAAAAAAAAAGAAGAAAGAAAGAAAGAAACAATGGGGACTTTGCAGTAGACAGACCAGGCGAGCACCTGGCCACTGCCCCGCTGTGGCGCACACGAAGAACGAGCGTCCACGTCGGGCCTGGTGAGCTGCCGTGAGTGCACTCGCCCAGGGAGTCTTCTGGCCAAAACCTGAACCGAGCTGGATCTTAGTGAGCCTCTTGGTCAAGCCAGCTTCGTGGTTTGTACAGATTTAGTGAAGCCGGAGGTGGCTTGGAAATAGGTGGGGAGGAAGGAGCTGGGACGAGCCGGCCCCTCCGCGAAGGCGGCTTTCTGAAAAAGTGCTGGGACTCAGTCACATTTTCCTGTTTGAAAGCACCCTGATTTCTTGCTTTGCCCAACCCATCACAGAAGTTCTCGGCGAGTTTCTCAGTGACCGGGAGAAGGCTGGCATGTGGAGAGTTGCCGAGACACGAGGCTGGCTCGCCTTTCAGACTCTCAGTAGATCCGCAGGAGTGGGGTCACGCAGCACCCCCCGGGCGCGTCTGTGTGACCCTGCGAGAGCTGAAGCCCCCAAGAGCTGGTCCCCGCCTCCGCGTCGCCGGTGCTCACCAAGTCACGCAGCGGGCATCCTACTCCGTATGGGACCCCGTGACCGCCCCGCCCTAGGCTGTCCGTGTCAGCATTCTGCTTACACACCGTAGCAGTCGACACCTAAAGCGCACTCGGTCCCAGACGCACCTTCGAAGGCGCAGGTAGCACTGGGCACGAGAGCACGGCTCGTCTCAGCCAGGCAGACTGACTCTCCTCTCCCGAGTTCCTTTACTCACTGCTGTCCTTCAGTCAGAGACAGACAGAGGGAGGGCAGAGGTAAGAAAGCAAGCTGCCAGACCCGGGAGCCGAGCACCTTAACCACCACACCCCCGCCGGCCCAAACTTACACTCCTCTCAGGATCTCTCCTACCACTAAGATTCTTTTTGTTTATGACCAAAACACAGTTCTAGAAGTTTCTAATGCCTGGAAAGACTAGATTCGGGACATGGTCCTGTAGAGCCTAGGTGAGCCTGGTGGGTAGGACATAGGGGTCTCTGGTGAGAAGAGGCCAAGAGCTCCTGAGCGGCCCTGGACGGTGGGGGGGGGTGCTCCTGGGCGGCCCTGGACTGGGGGGTGGCTCATGCGC